TTATTGTAATCCCTCAAGGAAGAGTTCTTGCCATTCATGTATGGCAGTTTTTTTACAAGTAGGAAATAGCAGTCATACAGTACCTTTCACACGTGCCGCAATGAAAACGAGCAACTACAATAAAACTAGCATTTCATTCGTAAACCCATGCGACTCGGAGGATATGACTTTCTATCCATTCTGGTATGGCCACGCTTTGATGTGTGTCTACGAAAATGGCACTCCAGCTGACTGGTACTAACAGTAAGTCTAAGAGAAGTAGTATCAGTCAACTGGAGTGAACATTGATGGTAAAAAATGAAGTAGGCGAACAAGTGTGGAAGACCCGGACCTGGCACATTTGCTGAGCAAACCCAAGAGGCATGGATAGAATTTGACAAGCGTGCTATTAAATATTACACCTTACACCATGAATGGTCACTCCAGTTTACTGGTACTACTTCTCCTACTGCACTGGTTTTGTCTATAAGCATGTATACAACGCGCGAGGTCCATTGGGCTCCCTGGGATATACTTACGCTATTAGCTCTGTCCATTGTCCCAATCAAGTCCAATGTACAATGCATACATACGTTGAACAAAGGGTTTGGCTCAGGCGACAAGCAGATCAAGTGCGCGCAATGTGTGTCACACGATGCCAGATGGGTTTGAGCTCAACGACATCAAGGGTGACCACATCATCAACAAATGTTGGTACTCTGCGTCTGGCTACAGCCCGTCGATTGACGATGCCGTTGTGCGGTGTGGAAAGCGGTCGACATCGTCCGTGTGCCGGTAGCGGATCTGCCTTCATTACTTTTGGAAGATTGGGATGAAGTCCTCTGCCTTCCACCCCACGACGGCACGTTTAGTCCACGGACCAAGCTCATGGACAATTCTGCAAACCCCTACGACGGCTTTTACCAATACGCGTGTGGTGCATGGTTCAAGGATGCTCCCGGACGAACGCACTATCGATACCGCGACCACCGAGATCTCCATCCAAAATGAAGCCATGGTGAAGAAGATTTTGTCTGACAACACAACCAAGATTGGCACAACCAGCAATGAGCCCTGACTTCAACGTTCTGGATCTAGGGTTCTTCAACTCAATCCAAGCCCTACAACACCGTCAAGTCGTCACTGGAATCGATGATCTGGTTGCCGCCATACATGGGTCATTCAACGAATTGGATTGGCGAATCCTGGACAAGACTTTCGTGACTCTAGTGAGAGTCATGGAGGAGTCGATGAAGATGGGCGGTGACAACTCGTACAAGTTGCCGCATCAGTGCAAGGACAAGATGGCAAGACTGGGACCCACCGCTCCTTCAGTGTGCGATCCTGATGTAGTCACTGTCATCGAAGCGATGAATGCTCTGAAGGACTTCGAACGTAGAGTAGATAACCTTTCTAGTGTGTTGGCATCATGTGACATTGAGGGTGTGATCAATACGTCAAATATTGATCACCTCTGCACAATTGTCCATGATGTGACGATATGATGCAGCACATCATGTTTCTTCTCGTCGTGAAATCAATTTTGTGAATAAAATTACACTTTTTCGTCTCAGAGAGCATACAAAAGATAAGATAAAAATTTGGCGAAATCCAATGTCTCCAGATTTATGGAATGGAGGAAGTACTTGAATTCTGTTCTTGGTTTTGATTGGTCAATCAATTGTCTGCCGATTTGGTGCTGTTCATACCCCACTCCAATTTCGCATCGACTTTACAATAACAAGC